GTAAATTAAACAGTGTATTTACGGACAAACAGAAAACAACACCAGTGACATACAAATAAAGTTAAATTAATAAAGTTAAATAACACATACACATAAAGTTAAATTAATAAAGTTAAACAACACATACACATAAAGTTAAATTAATAAAGTTAAACAACACATACAAATAAAGTTAAATTAATAAAGTTAAATAACACATACAAATAAAGTTAAATTAATAAAGTTAAACAACACATACACATAAAGTTAAATTAATAAAGTTAAACAACACATACAAATAAAGTTAAATTAATAAAGTTAAACAACACATACAAATAAAGTTAAATTAATAAAGTTAAACAACACATACAAATAAAGTTAAATTAATAAATTTAAATAACACATACAAATAAAGTTAAATTAATAAAGTTAAATAACACGTACAAATAAAGTTAAATTAATAAATTTAAATAACACATACAAATTAAGTTAATAACATTTAAAAAATTGTCGTCATAGGAAGTCTAGTGATAATAAGGGGAGTTAGGTCAGTGATGGTCAGGTGAATTAGGTCAGTGATGGTCAGGTAAGTTAGGTCAGTGATGGTCAGGTGAGGTAGGTCAGTGATGGTCAGGTGAGTTAGGTCAGTGATTGTCAGGAGAGCTAGGTCAGTGATGGTCAGGTGAGTTAGGTCAGTGATGGTCAGGTGAGTTAGGTCAGTGATGGTCAGGTGAGTTAGGTCAGTGATGGTCAGGTGAGTTAGGTCAGTGATGGTCAGGTGAGTTAGGTCAGTGATGGTCAGGTGAGTTAGGTCAGTGATGGTCAGGTGAGGTAGGTCAGTGATGGTCAGGTGAGTTAGGTCAGTGATGGTCAGGTGAGTTAGGTCAGTGATGGTCAGGTGAGTTAGGTCAGTGATTGTCAGGTAAGTTAGGTCAGTGATTGTCAGGTGAGTTAGGTCAGTGATGGTCATGTGAGTTAGGTCAGTGATGGTCAGGTGAGTTAGGTCAGTGATGGTCAGGTGAGGTAGGTCAGTGATGGTCAGGTGAGTTAGGTCAGTGATTGTCAGGTGAGTAAGGTCAGTGATGGACAGGTGAGTTAGGTCAGTGATTGTCAGGAGAGCTAGGCCAGTGATGGTCAGGTGAGTTAGGTCAGTGATGGTCAAGTGAGTTAGGTCAGTGTTGGTCAGGTGAGTTAGGTCAGTGATGGTCAGGTGAGTTAGGTCAGTGAAGGTCAGGTGAGTTAGGTCAGTGATGGACAGGTGAGTTAGGTCAGTGATGGTCAGGTGAGTAAGGTCAGTGATGGTCAGGTGAGTTAGGTCAGTGATGGTCAGGTGAGTTAAGTCAGTGATGGTTAGGTGAGTTAGGTCAGTGATGGTCAGGTGAGTTAGGTCAGTGATGGTCAGGTGAGTTAGGTCAGGGTTGGTCAGGTGAGTTAGGTCAGTGATGGTCAGGTGAGTTAGTTCAGTGATGGTCAGGTGAGTAAGGTCAGTGATGGTCAGGTGAGTTAGGTCAGTGATTGTCAGGTGAGAGGTCAGTGATGGTCAGGTGCGTTAGATCAGGGTTGGTCAGGTGAGTTAGGTCAGTGATGGTCAGGTGAGTTAGTTCAGTGATGGTCAGGTGAGTAAGGTCAGTGATGATCAGGTGAGTTAGGTCAGTGATGGTCAGGTGAGTTAGGTCAGGGATAGTCAGGTGAGTTAGGTCAGTGATGGTCAGGTGAGTTAAGTCAGTGATGGTCAGGTGAGTTAGGTCAGTGATGGTCAGGTGAGCCCTATTACTAACCCTTAGCTGTAGACAACACGTTCTAGCAGCCAGCAAAAGGTCTTTAAATGAAGAGATCAATCTCTAACGTGAAGACACCCAACGATGGAGACTGGAAGGGGAGGGGCTGGTAAGGCAGCCGCCAGGGACCCAAGATGATCAGCTATTCTTAAATTTTATCATGCAAATGATTTTTAATTATTTTTTACATACTTTTGAAAGTACTTAACTGATCATTTGAAGGCTCCAACGGTATTCTCCATTTAAAAAAAACATCTTAAAATCACGCGCACTTAATTGTGTGAGCTTGAGCTGTCATGGCTTTCTAATGAGGCCTTGAATGTGGTCAGATATTGACGATTCTAAAAACTTATTTAAGTAATCACCAAGGATCAATAACTTAAAATTAATTAAATCACAATCAATGAAATACCAATCAATAAATCAGAAATCAATAAATAATCATGCAATAAATAAACAATTAATACATCACCAATCAATAAATCAAAAAACTTTAAAAAAAAAAAAGTTTATTACATGGAAAAACATGGCGCGGTACTAAAACAACTACAGCAAGTAATATACGAACCCTCCCCCCTCTCTCCAAAAAGCGTGTCAAGAACAATGTCTGCCCACTATCCGTGTGGCAACATCGCTAGACTATGTACTCATAGATTGAATTGACCAGCTGACCTCCACATCCCCAGAGTCTGGTAAACCTGTGGCAATCTGTGTCAATTCTACGTCACTCTACGCCACAACGTTTCGGATGTGGTGATGTCCCGAGGTCTGCCACACCCCTCAGACGACGTGACGCCCCCCTCAGACGACGTGACGCCCCTACACCTCCGTGTCCCTGGACAGACGGCTGGTACCAGAATCCCCGGAGGTTCCAGATTTTCTTGAGCTGGCCGCGGACACGACGGACTGCTGGAAGTCGTCGACTGGAAGAGGTGGAGTGGGTGGGGGGGGGGGGGGGTGGGTGGGGGAAGTGGGGTGGAGAGGGTGGGTGGGGAGGTGGAGTTGGCAGGGGTGGAGGAGGTGGAGTGGGTTGGGGGACGTGAAGGTATTAACACAGTGTATGAATTATATGAACGCTAAAGAGGGCAACAGCTCTAGAGAGGTCAAAAGCTAGATGAGAGGTCAACAGCTAGAGAGAGGTAAACAGCTAGAGAGGTCAACAGCTAGAGAGAGGTCGACAGCTAGATGAGAGGTCAACAGCTAGAGATGTCAACAGCTAGAGAGGTCAACAGCTAGAGAGAGGTCAACAGCTAGATGAGAGGTCAACAGCTACCTATAATGCTTTCCTCCAAAGATCTCCGAGAGATTAAACTATTTGTGCTCTCCACGGGGCCAATCTGTGATACGAACCTTGGGATCTGGTGTTTGGAGTTGTCTGAAAAAATACGAACATTGGGGTCTGGTGTTTGGAGTTGGCTGAAAAAATACGAACAATGGGGTCTGGTGTTTGGAGTTGGCTGAAAAAATAAGAACATTGGGGTCTGGTGTTTGGAGTTGGCTGAAAAAATACGAAGATTGGGGTCTTGTGTTTGGAGTTGGCTGAAAAAATACGAACATTGGGGTCTGGTGATTGGAGTTGGCTGAAAAAATAAGATCATTGGGGTCTGGTGTTTGGAGTTGGCTGAAAAATGCGAAAATTCGGGCCACATAAATTCTGTAATTTTTAGATTTTTTTTTTTTTTTTAGAAACTGGGTCAGATTGAGTTTCAAGCCTCAAAATTAACATTAGAGCACATGAAACCAACCAGCCACCCACTTGAGACAAACCATCCACCAACCTGAGACCAACCAACCACCAACATGAGACCACCTAACCACCAACATGAGATCAACCATCCACCAACCTGAGACGACACTGAGCCTGTGAACCTTTTCTATCTGCCGCGCCTTTCGTCTACAGCACCAGAAGACGATGAAACAGAGCAGGAAGCAGACGACCGCCCCCAGGTACAACAACAACACCACCAGGTCGAACCCGAAGGAAATCCAAAACTCTTTCGGTTCGTGTGTGGGCGGTGACGTCACATTCCGTGAGTCATCGAATTCCTCGGGGACAAAACTTGCGTTGGAATTTCCTGTGGAGTGCAGACATCACGTGATAATGTACACGTCACGTTACGTCTGTTACCTCACACACCCTTTTACCTCTCGATAAGCACCCCTAGACACGCCCTAGTTTCCCAGCTCCTCTAGACACGCCCTTGTTTCCCAAACCCCATAGACACACTTTTGTTTCCTAAACCCCCCTAGACACGCCCCAGTTTTCCAGCACCCCCTAGTTTCCCAGCACCCCATCTACACGCCGTTGTGTCCCAGCTGCCCTAGACACCCCCAGCTTCCCAGCACCCCCTAGACACGCCCTCGTTTCCCAGTACCCCCTAGACACGCCCTTGTTTTACCTCCTACACAATGTTTGCCCGTCCTCCCCTCCACACAGTGGTAACACTGTCCGTTGTAGTGACAGAGCTGGTCCACACAGTTTCCCAGCACCCCCTAGACACGACCCCAGTTTCCAGCACCCCCTAGTTTCCCCCTTTACCTCCTACACAATGTTTGCCCGTCCTCCCCTCCACACAGTGGTAACACTGTCCGTTGTAGTGACAGAGCTGGTCCACACAGCCCATGCTGCAGATCTCATCACAGTACAGCCCGTACACGGGGGACGAGCAGTCTGGGGAGGGTGCGCATGCGCTAGTCTAAATATAGCACTGTAGTGGGCAGAACTATATTAGTTACATTGGTGCAAACGTCGTATTGTTCTACCAATATCACATTGATATACCAATGTCAAGTTGACCTAACAATGTCAAGTTGACCTACCAAAGTCATGTTAACCTACAAATCTCACGTTGACCTACTAATGTCTTGTTGACATACCAATGTCACGCTGACCTACCAATGTCAAGGTGACCTATCAATATAATGTTGACCTACCAATATCAAGTTGACCTACCAATATCATGTTGACCTACCGGTGTCACGTTGACGTACCAATGTCACGTTGAATTACCAATGTCATGTAGACCTACCAATATTATGTTGACCTACCAATGTCACGTTGACCTACCCCCAAAAACCTCCAACTCGCAAACCTCCATCGGGTGCCCAGGTTGGGTCACCAGGTTGACATCTACACGCATGGCTGGTCTCCTCACGATGGATTTGAACCTCAGACGTCCAGTGACGTCCGCTCTCACGCCCGTCAAATTCTGCAGACTGACCTCCCCCTCGCCCACAACCTCCAGCCGGAAGCCGTCCAATGTGCCGTACGAAGTGTTAGCTGTTAGAGGAGACAGGTGGGCAAGTTCAAGGTTAACCAGCTGAGACAGATGGTCAAGTTCAAGGTTAACAAGCTGAGACAGCTGGTCAACTTCAAGGTTAACCAGCTGAGACAAGTGGGCAAGTTCAAGGTTAACCAGCTGAGACAGGTGGTCAAGTTCAAGGTTAACCAGCTGAGACAGGTGGTCAAATTCAAGGTTAACCAGCTGAGACAGATGGTCAAGTTCAAGGTTAACCAGCTGAGACAGGTGGGTAAGTTCAAGGTTAACCAGCTGAGACAGGTGGTCAAGTTCAAGGTTAACCAGCTGAGACAGGTGGGCAAGTTCAAGGTTAACCAGCTGAGACAGGTGGGCAAGTTCAAGGTTAACCAGCTGAGACAGGTGGGCAAGTTCAAGGTTAACCAGCTGAGACAGGTGGTCAAGTTCAAGATTAACCAGCTGAGACAAGTGGGCAAGTTCAAGGATAACCAGCTGAGACGGGTGGTCAAGTTCAAGGTTAACCAGCTGAGACAGGTGGTCAAGTTCAAGGTTAACCAGCTGAGACAGGTGGGTAAGTTCAAGGTTAACCAGCTGAGACAGGTGGGTAAGTTCAAGGTTAACCAGCTGAGACAGGTGGTCAAGTTCAAGGTTAACCAGGTGAGACAGGTGGGCAAGTTCAAGGTTAACCAGCTGAGACAAGTCGGCAAGTTCAAGGTTAACCAGCTGAGACAGGTGGTCAAATTCAAGGTTAACCAGCTGATTACTCGCCTGTCTATGTCACTCACCTGTCGATGTGTCTCACTCACCTGTCGATGTGTGTATGACGATCTCCGTGATGAGCTTAGGTGTGCTAAAGACCAGCTGCAGCTGCTGGTGAGTCACGGAGTCATTCAGCACCAGACACGGCTGTGTCAACTGGCCGTCTACCGCAGCACCTGACGGCGTCGTGTTGGCCGCCGGACTGTGAGACACCCTGCTCTTTAGCGCCAGATTTCTTCCTGAAACATTTCGGATACTTCATGATCCGTAGGGTAGGGGAAGTAGAGTTGACTTACGACTCGTGTAAGGTACGTTTTAGAGCTGGGTGGACTCAAGGACGTTTGATGGTTATGTTAGGTACATAAAAGAGCTAGGTGGACTCTGGGACGTCTTAAGTTTATGTTTGGTACCTAATAGAGCTGGGTGGACTCTATGTCTACAACCTCTGGAGCCGATATCGAGAGGTTTAGGTTAGCCTTTGTATTCTCTACCTGTTGACCACATGTTTTACCTATAATAAATACATAAGTTCCCATGGATGCATCAATCCACCCACCCATCCATCTATCCAACCATCCATCCACTATCCACCCACCCACCCACTCATCCACAAACCCACTCATCCACCCACCCATCCACCCATCCACTCACCCATCCATCCACTCACCCATCCATCCACTCACCCATCCACCCGTCCATCCATCCACCCATCCATCCATCCACCAATCCATCCATCCACCCACCCATCCACCCATCCACCCACCCGTCCATCCATCCATCCATCCATCCATCCATCCATCCATCCATCCATCCATCCATCCATCCATCCATCCATCCATCCATCCATCGATCCATCGATCCATCCATCCATCCATCCATCCATCCATCCACACACCCACCCATCCATCCATCCATCCATCCATCCATTGCACTGAATCCCGTCTCACCTCCACTGATGTAGAGAGAACAGATCACGTGATGAGCTCGCCAGCTGACGGTGACCTTGGTGACGTAGACTGTGCCAAGGTTACATGCCAGGTCCAGGGTTGTGGGTGTGGGTTGTAGAACATCCATGTGGGTGCAGGCCTGGGGGGTGAGGCCAGAGAACGCCTGCACAGTGTAGTGATCTGTCTTGTCTGGGTTTCAAGGTTTCATAGCTTGTTAGAAAGGTCAAGGCTGGACTTGTAGTAACAGAAGTCAAGCATGTACCGTAGGAGAAAAATGTAGGTCATGTGTGTCGTGATGGGATACGATTCTGTAGGTCAAGGTTGTAGAACTATACAGGAAGGTCAAGGTTACGTTAGACATTTGGTGTTTAATTTGGTGATAGTCTAAAGGCTTCGTCGCATGTTGTTAACAGGGACCAGACCATAGACAGGTGTTTTAGATTCTGGTTTTCAGTGATTTATTTTAGAATACACTGTAAATTTTCCTAAAATTACTACTTGCGAAAGTTCCCTCACCCTTGACGACTATCCCACGTGATTGTTCACTCACCCTTGACGACTATCCGTATCCACGTGATAACCTGTTCCTCACGAAACTTGACGGTCACTGACCTCTCCGTGTCCTGCTGATGGCACGTGCTGTCGTTGTTGTCTGTGAGCGAGGGCAAGCTGGACTCTAGGACGTAGGCGGCGCCAGCCAAGTTTCCTGCAAGCAAGGCAATCACACTGCTGAAAGTAGGTCAATCACACTGCTGTAAGTAGGTCAATCACGCTGTTGTAAGTAGGTCAATCATACTGGTGTAAGTAGGTCAATCACACTGTTGTAAGTTGGTCAATCATACTGGTGTAAGTAGGTCAATCACACTGCTGTAAGTAGGTCAATCACACTTCTTTAAGTAGGTCAACCACACTGGTGTAAGTAGGTCAATCACACTGTTGTAAGTAGGTCAATCACACTGCTGTAAGTAGGTCAATTTATCGCTAAAAGTAGGTCAGTTACAACGATGTACGTAGGTCAAATACATCGCTGTAAGTCGGTAAAACAGATTGAAGTAGGTCAATATTATCGCCGTAAGTAGGTTAATTACATCACCTGAAGAAAGTCAATTACTCCGCTGTACGTAGGCCAATTACATCGATTTTAGGAAGTCAGTTACATTGAAATACGTAGACTAGCTACATACCCGTGCTCCGCCACGGTAAATATTTTTTAAATGTACCAACATGGGAACAGAACAGAACAGAACAAAACAAACAAAGCACAACCACAACACAACTACAACACAACCACAACATTAGAATCACCATTTAAAAAAAACACGCTTTCCCAGGCATCCGCGCCCAGAGAGAGCCTTTCCAGCATTCTCTATAAGTCTAATTTCACCATCTGTTTTAATAACACCGAAAAACAAAAACAAAAAATAGTGATTTAGAGATCATAGACTAATTAGAAAATAATATAAATAATCTTAACATTTTTCTATTTTACTAATGAACCTTAACATATAATAATCAATGCAGTAGTAATTTAAAAAAAAACTTAAATTATTTAATGAGTTGAATTTATATTTAAATTATCTTCGTTGGCAAAATTAAAAAAAAACAGTTGAATTTATTAGTTTTTCGACCTGACCGTTATGAAAACGTATCCAATTTTTCCAAGAATCTAAACGAAATGATATTTGACATTGATCCGTTTAATATGTTTTAGCAGTGTGCGTGTATTCAATATTTTCTTTACATATTGCGAAAGAGTAGAAACCGTGGCAATTATACAATAAATTTAAGTCGTTATATAAACAAACCCTACTGTATCACTTATAATAATACTATGCGATGCACTGGAAAGCACTGTATGATGAGATGTTTACTTTTTTTATGGTTCCAAAATCTATAGCGAAGACAAGAGGAAGGAAGGACTAACACACAAACAGCGGAGTAAGCAGGTCAATTAAATCACTGTAAGTAGATCAATTATATCGATGAATGCAGGTAAATTATATTGTTATAAGTAGGTCAATTACGTCGATGTAAGTATGTCAATAACATCGATATAAGTAGGTCATATACATTGCTACATGCCACATTTCAATTACATCACCATAAGTAGGTCAAATACATCGCGTTGTGAGGCTTCTCTCGTGTAAGTGTAATCAAAAAACAACAAATCCGCGTCTATGGGCTTGATGAATTTGATTTACCTTAACGACTGAACCAGTCGCTTATTCTAGAACCAATGACCCAGGTAGTGTTGGCGTGACCTTCTTACCCATTGACCTACTGACCTACTGAGCCGTCCATCAAACTTACTATACTGGCACCTCAACCCGAACCAGTTCTGCGCACACGGGGCGGTGTCCCCCTGGCACGCCCCCGCCCCACAGTGGGGCGCCTCACAGTGACACAAGAACAGGTCGCCTTGGCCGAACCAGACCTTGGGCGCTGAAATAAATTTTGTGGTTGGTCCTTGCATTCAAAGATAGAGGTAAGATCGAGACACAGATATTTTAGTGGGGACAAGACACGGATATTTTAGTGGGGCCCAGTTAGTACTAAATGGAATAGTTAAGGAAGTTTATTAAAAGTACTACTCGAAAAACTAACTCATACTAAATGATCTCAGACAAGATCCAACTAGACCTGACATTGATGGTCAAAATGGATTCAACCAGAGTTTCTTCCAGGCATCTCTCCGAAAAATTTCACCCCCCCCCCCCCCGAACGAAATGTAATTTATATAATCTATATAGAAAATATATAATTTTAACAGTGTCCGCCCCACCCTAAGAAAGTCTACCGCCCCCCCACCCCCCGAAAATTTCAAGTGCCCCCCCCCCCCCTCCCCGGAGAAAAGAGTCAGGAAGAAACACTGGATTCAACAATGACTGAAAAGTTTTTTGTTGAATGAACAAAATTGTTGACCAGGAAGTCAAGAGTTCGAATCTTAGTCCAAAGTGAGGGCCGAAACCTGAACACCTGACTTGAGTCGGGGAAAGTAGAGTGGCCGGACGTGCTGACCACACCACTCCTCATTGGTAGAGGGGCCCCTGGCTAGACCGCGAGCACTTTGTGTTCGTGTTTGCATTAAAGTTTGTGCTTATGTTTGCGTTTGCTTTTGCATTCTTTTGATTTATTGTTTGCGTTTTGGTTTGCGTTTGCATTTATATATGTATTTGCGTTTGTGTTTTCTTTGTGTTTTTGTTAGCGTTTGTAATTGGGCTTGGGTTTGCGTTTG